CATTTTTTTCAGATGAGTGTATACAAAGACATTCTACATATAATGACAGTGCTATATACTGGAATAAAGGACAGCATCAGGGTGGACAGCAATTCTTTTGATTCCACCCCGTCATGGAAATTCTGATGTATTGATTTCCAGCAGTCAGGCCATTATTGACTTCTACTGTCACAGGCTCCACTCAGCCGGGGTCTGACAACACGCACACAGTCAGCCAATCAATCACATGGACTGAGAGAATGCAGACTCTTCAGTGCTTCATAGCACTATGGCTCTGTGATGTGACAAAACTTTTGTATCCTGATAGAGGTCATCTCACATTCAGATAACAAAACATGTTGTTACTTGTTGCTCAAAGCTTTTATCGACTGTGTTAATTTGCTACATATCCAGTGCTAAAAATGAACCATTGTGAAAATTAAATTACTATTTCTATCCATAGATGAAAAATCACATGAGAGTTTCGCGTAAAACTGACAATAATCAAATAAAATGTATGTTTAATGATTCAAACTAAACATCATTTATTTTGATTTATTAAAACTGAACCTGTTGAACTGAAATAAATCCATTGGTGTTTCAGGTCTTTCCCAAGAAGCTGGTGTCTTTTTCCACCTGGATTGACCACACCCGCTGGGCTCGCAACACCTGGGCCATGGCAGCCATCTTTATCCTGACCATGGCAGACATCGTGGACATGGTGAGCTGCTCTCTGCTGTCATACAGCCAGGCTGCACTAGTGTGGCGGCTACGAAGAGGGAAAGAAGTGGTGCATGACTCAGGCTCACCTGACAGGTGTTCTTTAGTGATGCAGTTAGAAATACAAGGAATGAGGGGTCCTGGCTGTTGAATAATGCAGACAGCTGTGGAAAGAAACACTTAGGCTATGATCACACTGTGAGCATTAGTGCTCAATTCTGATTTCTTTCTTGATCCAATTTCTTCCAAAGGAGAAGAATTTGGTAATAAACATGGAGGCCACAGATGTGAGCGTTTACACTTTCATTTTTCTCTTGATATGCTTTCAAACACAGACCGGTTAGGATACGATACAACCCGTCAAGTTTTCCTTTCTACAGACCATAGTGACTCAAAAGTCGCATTGAATTCTGATACGGGTCACATGGCTGTTCAGACTGAGGTTGCATTTAAAAAAAATCTGATGTTTGTCTGATTTAGAAACACATAACAAAGTGCCCCAAAGCTAATCGTAAAGTGATTTGTACTCTTCACACTGTCATTAAACAATCAGATCTGGTTCACATAAGGAGGGTGGAAAAATCTGATTCGGGCCACTTGGGCCTGTGGGAACGTATTCAAAACACTCTGTCTTCTGGTGCATTCATATTATTAGTTTATTCCTGGAGAATGTCATCAAACCAAACCAGTGTGTAGATTTATGTTAAACATACAACTATGCAAAGTTTTCTCTGAGATGTATCCAGTATATTGGCCACAGACAGACAGATGGATGGATGGATAGATAGATGGATAGATAGATGGATAGATAGATAGATAGATAGATAGGGTGAGGAGAGTGAGGACATCTGGAGGGAGCCCGGAGTAGATCCACTGCTCCTTTGTGTTGAAAGGAGCCTGATGAAGCAGGGCATCTGAGAAGGATGCCTCCTGGGTGCTTTTCTTTTGAGGTCATCATCCTCATCGGAGGGAATAAATATCCCATCTGTCCAGGTACTGCTTCAAGATCCCCCAGGGGGAGCTGGAAATCTTGCAGGATGGACCTTTTGAATACTCCTTAGCCCTACTACCACTGTGAGCAGACCTCTGTTATGCAGAGAGGATGAATGGATAGATATATTAATGAATGATAGATGGATTGTAATTTAATGACTTTGTGTCTCTCCACTGTGTAGCTCAGTTGTCTGCCTCGAGTCCCAGACTCAGGCGGCGCCACCACAGCTCCCTCCTCCGCTCCTTCCTCCTCCTCCACTTGGTCTGGGCCTCACGGATGCCTGGAAAACCCCAAATATTACAGCTACATTGCTGTGCTGGCACTGATGGCTACCACCATGCTGGTTCAGGTCAGTCACATGGTCAAGCTCACACTGATGCTGCTCATCACTGTGTCCACTGGCATCGTGAACATCTACAGCTGGAGGGACATCTTCGACCGCTACGACACGGCCCGCTTCCAGGACTACAGGTCAGCCAGTATCATCTGTGTAGAGCACCACTCTTCACACCTCTGTGTAGTGGTACAAAAAGACATTATTCATTTAAAGCAACCTGCCTGGGTGTGTGTGTTCACACAAGTCTGTGTCCGAAATCCCGCACTCAATCCCTAACTCTACTTTTCTATGTGGGGTCTTCTTTGTAGAGGACTATATAGTGAGCTCATCGGCAAAAGAAAAAAACGTTTTCAGACACAGCGTGGCGCATTTTCTCTGCCCCTGTAATTACGTCATTGTCGCAGAAGTACAACAACAACAGCGGTGTTCAATGGAAAATCCCAACAATACATATTAAATGTTCTTTTAGGGAGAACGTACATTGAATGACCATCTTTTAATGTAGAAATAAACTTGTTTGCCTCAGTTTGTGCTGTGATGCGCTGCTCTGCTCGTATTAACACTTGTACGATAAGTCAGGCTGGTCCTGGTGCCTTCTCTCCTCTTGCCACTGCGAGTGCAATGCATGATGGTAGATAACGCTTGGTTAGTGACAACCAATTGAACACTACTTTGAGGGATTCATTGTAGGAAACAATGAGTGGGGTATAAAAAATTCTGTAAAACCAAAAACATTCAGACAGTGCTACAAAATGGTGAATCCACTATATAGTGGACTACATAGTGATTGGTGAGTGATTTCAGACACAGCCTTGGTTTCATGTCATCATGTGGTTAATACTTTAACATACAATAATTGTAATGTTGGGGGTTTTCAAACTGTTGTTATTGTATAGTAACACAAATGATCAATATGTCAATGTTCTTCTCTGCAGGTCATACCTGGTGCCTTCCAAGTTCACAATGACAACTATGATCTTCATTATGATGGTCAGCTTCTATTATTTCTCCAGACATGTAAGTTAATGCCTCCTGCGTTCACTGTACTTTAGCAGAATGAATATGCAACACTTTGTAGCAGTTTGTTTTAATGGTGTTAGAGGAGCCAAAACTATTTGACAACTTTCATCCTGTTGCCAACATTGTCATCAGAGCAGCTTTGCGTGTCTTCACTCTCCATCTGTAGTATAAGAACAACAACTAAAATTCAAATGAAATCAGTGACCAAAGAGAGAGTGCTACATTAAGACCCAGAGACACCTCAGGCCCTAGTTCACACCTGGTGCAGAGAAGCCCTTGTTTGACTTAAAATGAAGTCATGCAATTTATTAATGCATTACTATCTTGAGGCAGTGGAAAACGATTGACCAATAAAAACCTGATCTGAAGTCAGTGGTACAGTTTCTTAATGCTATTTTACCATCACCAAAGCAATATGCTCCTACATAGGCAGGTGCAGAACAAGCATACGCTACATCTCAAGAAGGCCCTGACGGAATTTCCTAAAATTTGGTTCAAATATTCACTTGTACTCAAGGATGAACCTCCAGACCTCATGTCTGAAAACTGAAAGGCCTTAATGAGACCAAATCATTCATGCAGCAATACAATATAAAGAATATTGAATAGATCGGCATGCATTATACCTGCCTTAGTGATTTATGTCAAGCATTGGGCGGCCATTAAGAGAAATGGTGCCATAGGGAAGGAGGTGTATGTGTTTATGTGGAAAACATCTTATTTGTTTGCTTGTGCCATTTTCTTTGGCATTTTAAGATTAGATGTCACACATAAAATGCTCTTCTCAAAGCTTTTCACAAAATACCAACAAACATTTCGGTGGTTTCTGCTTTCAAATTCATATACTGCTCAAATGCTGACACCAGTCCCTGTTGCTGTGTGAAGGTGGAGAAGCTTGCCCGCACCCTGTTCCTGTGGAAGATTGAGGTCCATGAGCAGAAGGAGAAAGTATACGAGATGAGGCGCTGGAATGAAGCACTGGTGACCAACATGCTGCCTGAACACGTGGCTCGACACTTCCTGGGCTCCAAGAAAAGGGACGAGGTAAGATCCTCACATCCACAGACACCAGATCAGTCCTTACTACACTCATTGCAACCTACAAAAGGTGTGAAGTCAGTTTAAGCGCATCTCAGCTGCACTGTTCAAAGCTTGGGACAGAATTGTATTTATACAAATGCTGTATAAATTATATGGTTATAGTGATCAATAAGTTACCTTCCCTCAAATTCTGGGACTATCATACAGAAGCTGCCCATTTAGTTTATAAGAATTAACGACTTATGGTAATCATGTTGACCCTCGACAAACCTTATCACTAAAAGCGGTTTCCACTGTATTAGCAAACTCTGTGTGTTTCTCTGCAGTAATAAACCCATAACTATATCATATTGATTTGTGTATTTTCATAAACATTCAGTTTGGGTTCATCACTTCCTCAAATATTCTGACCCCCTTGTTGATGTGACCTGTTCCAGGAGTTGTACAGCCAGTCCTACGACGAGATTGGAGTCATGTTTGCCTCAATCCCCAACTTCTCTGACTTCTACACAGAGGAGAGCATCAACAATGGAGGGATTGAATGCTTACGCTTCCTCAACGAGATCATCTCAGATTTTGACAGTGTAAGTTGCTTTCCTCATTCTGTAGCCGTCCGACTGCAGGACCAGTCTCAAACGCACAGTCTCAGGGATCTTTTGATCACTTGTCTCAGTTATACCTCTCTATCTCATTTTACACAAATCTCCCAAACCATTGTCTCACCTTAAACTCAGCTGTTGCTGTGGAGATGTTGTTATCCACAGTGTAAAAGATTCTGTGGCCCTCTGCTGCTCATGATCATTAAAGTAACCATCCTTTCCTTGTGTCTCTAACTATTTGAAAACAGCCTCCATACAACCAGGTCTAGACCCATAACCCATTTATCTGGGACAGTGTTGAAGTCTCCTACTTGTCCAACTGTAAATGTTTATTGTGGTGACCATGTTTCATCCCATTACCCAGAACATTTTGGGGGGCTGTTAATGTAAAATACAACTATGATCCCTATCACTGGCCCAGTGTGATGAGATTCTTGTCAGTAACAGAGTGTGCGTTGTGTGTAAACATCTACTGGCCATAAGGAATCTGTTTGTTGACTTCCTCAACTTCACATATTTTTTCGCCTGTCTCCACCTCAGCTGCTGGATGAACCTCAATTCCGCTGCATTACAAAAATCAAGACCATCGGCAGCACCTACATGGCAGCATCAGGCGTCACCCCAGATGTCAGCAATGGCTACACTTGCATGAAGGTCAGCTTGGTCAAAACCCTTCTGCAGACTTCATGTCTCTGATTATATCTGATTTGCACTAAATAAGAACAGATAATGATAATGTGTAAATAATCTACAGAGTCCTGGTCTGATCATCTCTCTTGTTTTAGCATGCTGATGGTTTCACTAGTTGTGATGATGCTGGTGTGGAGGTGTAGTCTGAGCTGTTTGGTTTTTGTCAGATAGAAGGAGGAGCAGTCTGACAGAGAGCGCTGGCAGCACCTGGCAGACCTGGCTGACTTTGCTCTGGCTATGAAGGTCACACTCATGAACATCAACTACCAGTCATTCAACAACTTCATGCTACGCATCGGTATGTCTCTCTCTGTGTACTGTTGTTCTACTGTTTACATTTATTACAAGCCATTACATTACATTACACTCTTTTTTTCAGAAATGTTTGTCTCAAGTTACAAGTGCATTTAAACCTTATTTGTGCAAAAGATTGAAAGTGTATCGTGTATGAGTTTTTCTTTTTGAGAGGGGATGCAGTCAAGGGATGCTAACGTTGCATTTAATGCAACAGTACATGTTCTTAGAAGAAACAAGACAAGTAGGTGTTACCATGAGCTGTTGAGATGTAGTGTTAAAAGATGCACCTGTCACTCTGGGCAACTCCAGAAAAGGAGAGCCCCTCTCCAGGAGTTTGGTTCCAGAGCCCAAGCTGTGCATTAGGGTGAGGCCATGTTACTCCCCTGTTTTGTTGTTGTGTGTTATCTTGTATAACTGCAGAAACAAAATTAATAACTATCATGAGATATTTAATTTGTATTTATAAATTGTTCCACTGGCTGATATACTGCCCGGTGGCCCGAGCTCCCCCACCCTTGGTTTAAGTGTTTTACCCTTGAACTATGGTAGAAATACAATGGATTCAGAAAACTGAACCATTTATATTAATTTGTTTTTGTGATTTATACAACATTCATTTGTTTTTGTTTCCATGTACATCCAGTGATTGAATATCAGGTAGTCCTAACAGTCTTAATCCAACAACATTCTCCTTCAGGTCTGAACAAGGGTGGAGTGCTAGCAGGAGTGATTGGTGCCCGCAAACCCCACTATGATATCTGGGGCAACACTGTGAATGTGGCCAGTCGCATGGAGTCCACAGGGGTGATGGGAAACATCCAGGTACGGCACTGAGTTTTACTGCAACACTTTTAACACAACTTTCACAATCTTCAAGATTAACCATGTTTCAATACAGGCTGATCCTCACCAAGTTATCCCATTTTAAGTTGTTCTTAAATCTGTTTGTGTGTTTTCATGGTATGATTAGAAAGAAAACCTTTACTACATACACCAAGAAATATCACTGAGAAAAACTATTTTTACATAAAATTGCATTTTATAAATGTTCCCTAAATAATGGGAAGACTAATGTCTGTTGTCACATTTATTTAAACAGTGAATGATGTAAGTGTGTCACATTGTGTGTGTGTTGCCTCCAGGTGGTGGAGGACTGCTACAACATCTTGAAGGAGTACGGCTTCCGCTTTGTGAGGAGGGGGCCCATCTTTGTGAAGGGAAAAGGGGAGTTGCTCACTTATTTTCTAAAGGGAAGAGACAAACAAGGCTCATTTATCAATGGCTCCTCTGTCACTCTGCCACACCAGGTGGTGGACAGCTAAGGACCACACTCACATACAGCACATCCACCGTGTGGTTAATGCAGAGAGGTGCCAGAGGACTTGACCTGACCTGAACTTCTGTTTACAGCTTAAATTTAAATACTACTCACTCACACACACACCGGTCATTACTGAACACATACATGATCACTGTCAGTGGAAAGATATATGTGCCAGTAGAGTTTTGTATTGGAAATTAAATGTCATGTTCAAGTTGAACCACTGAATTCCCAATATGGATCATGAACTTTAAAAGAAATCACATTTTAAAAAAAGGAGCACCAGATGTATAGATCCAGGTATTCCATTCAATTGAAAAATGATATAAAGTAATCACGTGGGCTGATTCAAGTGTCATCAGGCAACCTAGTCCAGTGATGGCCACATCTTTTCCTTCATCTGCAGTTGCTCATAAAAACTCAAAAAGTACAAATAACCCTCGCAGAAAGAAAACCTGGATTTTCACTCGATGGTGATAATAAGAGTAGACATAATGAAATGGCAGAAGTAAATATGGAGTAAGTTGGAAGACTGTAGCATGTTTTCACATTCTGCTGTGATCAACGCTCTATACCCCACTGAGTGTTTCCTCTCATACAAACAATTCATAATTCATCCCAAACATTTCTACACTTCTCCATCCATTGATTCATTTGTGACCACATCTTGATTTTCTATTTAGTTTTTTTCTTCAAATGGGTTAGATCTCATTTCCTTGTAAAGCTATATTCTGGATTGTCAGCCCTCCTAAAAACATCATTTGGTCTTTGAGAATATAAATGGAGTGCGTATGTATTTTCATATAGTGCACGGAAGACACAAGCAGAGACGCACTCTAATGTCAGGTGTGAACTGACAAACATGGAGCTCTCCACTTGTGATTGGATAACTTGAGACACATGTATACCAAGACCTGGTGGAACAGGGCCAAATCTCACACACACACACACACACACACACACACACACACACACACACACACACACACACACACAGCTGCAGCTACATCTACATCTAAAAATAAAAATCAGTTTCAGCAACATTCTGCTTTAAACTGTGCAGCAGAAAAACAACCTTGTGTGTTCTCCTGTGCAGACTGACTCCTTGTCACAAACATTTTTTCTAAATACGATTTCTTGTGAAATCACTAAACGTTAACATGACTTCTTATCTTACAAGTTTTTGGTGGAATTTTGTTCCTGAGTTTTGTGCACTTTGAAGTAAACATTTCAGCATAAGGATTGATTTGAAATTATGTAATTTAAATACAATGATGGGCTTTATCTCTTTCCATAGATGCCTCTCAGACAAACACACACACACAGTGGTCCAACAATCTCAATTCAGGAGATCATTCCACATTTGAGAACTACTTAGGTGTAGGGATGCGTGACAGACCGATGTGAGTTCAGATGATCTGACTGTGATGAGGAGGAGGATTTTGAAGTGGATGATGTGATGATACAGAGTGACCTCTCTCCTGCTGCTGCCTCGTTGTGGAAATCGTGAGCGTTAGAGTGTGTGCGTGGATATTTGTCCACAGTGATGATTCTCCCTGATTCTGAAACAGGTCAGATCTGTGAGTATTGTGAGACGATTGTGTGCCTTGAAGTTGTGTAACATGAAGGACAGCATATGTAAATGGTCTGTATTTATTGAGAGCTTTTCTAGTCTTGATGACCACTCAAAGCGCTTTACAGTACAGTTTTGCCATTCACCCATTCACCCATTCACCCACACACACACACACACCCACACACACACACACAGACATTCATACTGTGCATCCATGTGCAGCGCTTTCTCTTTCATACATCACTCACACACACCTCCTGAGCCACAGATGTCCCTCCTCTCCTTTTTGGGAGAGGGACAGATGACTCGTGACAGATATATTTTCACAGTAGAATGATGGAAGTGCCTATGTGATCACCATCTTTTAAATTATTTAATTGATTCCACAGCCATTTACAGACAGGGAGAAGTCTACAAGTCCTGGGTGCTATGAAAAAGATCATTCTCGTTTATAACATCTGGGTTTTATGGTTTATGATAACAGTGTAGAGTTGAAAGGGGGATCGGGGTAACGTTGACATCACCACAAAATGGTTGGAAATAAAAATCCAGGTTAGTCAGTTTGACAGGAGTGAAATGTCACTTCCTGCTTCTAATCACTGCAGTGAAGGATTATTAACCCTAATGTGGATAAAGGTTGCATCTGAGAAATTTTAGTGATTGGTAACTGGAATATCTAATCTCAGACATGAATGTGGTTTGTACGGTGTCAGAGGCCTCATAGGATGCACCCTGTATTAAACTGTTACCTTCTTTTGACTAGATGAAAGACATTCATGGTTGTCTGGGACACATTCTTTCAGCTGTGTAGATATAAATGTGTCCGGGCCACCTGATCTTGCCACACTGACACAAGTACATTGACAATGGAACGTCTTTAAAAACATCATCATTCAGTCTTTGCAAACAGAAATTGTGTGTTTGCTTACAAAGCAGGGATCTGATCACAAGTGACAGGACAGATTTCAGTACCAGGCCTGAACAGATGAGCTCAGACTTGTGATGGGATTTCACCGAACAGTTGTTAACATCAGGTCTGAACAGGGCCTTTGTCTCTGCCTGCTTGTGTAAAGGGCCAAAATGGAAATGTACAGCAGACATGCACACGGTTCTGCAAATGCTTAGTGCAAGCGTGTGCAGTTGGTAGATTGTGATGGTCTGTGACGCTGACCCTACGAGACCTGGACGAGTGAAAACATTGACATCTCTTGAAACCATGTGTCTATGTGGACACAGATAATTGAATCCACTCTCAAGAGGACACATCCTCTCACATGTTCAGCAGGTCCAACCTCTAATTACATGTTCTGACTCACTCTACTCAAGGTGGAAAGTCTTGCCACTGTCAGCAGGCACACTGGAAGAAACTGTCCCTTGAAAAATGGGGCTAATTGTGATATTGTTGGAGTTGCAGGCAGCGATTTGCTACTGATAGTGCACTGGATTTGATTGCATTAGAGTAGCTTCATACATTATATCCAGAAACGTTTGTATTTCAGATGTAGGACGCATCAATGCCACAGCCGTGACAAACCCACCTGGCAGACAGCAGCTGCACTGTACATTAGTTTTGGCGAAAGGATTGAAGGAGCCACTGCTTTTTTCCTCTGCTGATTGTAAAACTCATGAGTGTCTGTAGAATGGGATGAAAGTGCAATAGTTTCTTCTTCTACAATCCTGATTCTCTCCTCTCTTTAGGAAAGTGTCAATCATTCCTACCCCTTTAATTCATATTTTTATAATGTAATGTTTTGTTCGGTTCAAAGAAAGGGAAAGAGGACTGAACGCATCCTTATTGTACATAGAGTTCAGACTCCGTTTATTGGTCAGATTTATTTATTAGAAATGACAGGGATATTGACTTTTTTCTTACACAGATGTGAAAGTGCCAATGATAAAGGAATGGCTTTAGATGTAAAAGCCACAACATGGACCACGGCTGTTTCCTTATTTGTATTTTAAAAGAATCTCAGGCTTGGGAACAAAATAGCACTTTGGATAATGTGTCAAATCTGTATATTATTCCAGGGTTTGGTTGCAACAGAATTAATGAGCTAAGTACCAACACAAGAACACTCATGTGCCATCCGGAGAGCCCATGCCAGCAGGGCCAGCTGATGGCATCGAAAGGCATCAACATTCACTGCTGTGCTTATAGTTGTTACTGTTCAGATTCTGTCAGATTTTAAAACACAACTTTGATTTCTCCTCACAACTTTGTGGGCTGAATTAGATGGACTGTGACTCTACTTAGCCTGTTCTGAGCTGCTGATCCCAGTCCTGGATTTTTAGTTGAAGAATTTCTCAGTGTGCTGTCTTTCATTTGAGTTGTTTGTCATCATACGGCGAGTTGATTAAAGAAATCGAATAAAAACAAGCCTACGTGTCGTGATTACTACAAAGGTATTTGGAAAACTGCAGCAGATCGATCATGGAAGAGCTCCTCAACATTCATCTCAACATCTCTGCAGGTTGACTGAACAAAAACAGACCAACAAGAGCATCAGTGTAAAGACTTGAGCTCTGACATCAGAGCTACTGCTTTTCTGTGATTGATTTTATAGTTAATTGGGATAAATATAGCTTGATCCTCTTAAAGAGAGACAGAGAGAAACATTAAAACTTAACTCTGATAAAATGTTACWGTCATATGTCACATAGCAAACAAAAGAAGGACACTAGACACAAGACGTAGATAATAAATACAGGGATGCATCATAATACACATGCATCAATGCATCACATAATCGTATGATGAACAAAAATTGGACTTGTGGTACAAGTCTAAAAGTGAAGTAAACAAAAGCAGATGAGCAGAAAAAAGTATTGTTCTTAATCAAATGCTGTAAGACAGTTTGTCCTAAAAAGGGAGAAGCACCGACCATTCACTACACAGCATTACACCATAATGCACTATACTAAATACTGGACTAKWSTGCACTATATGTAAATGCATGTTAAAAACATTCACAGTCAATTTAGTAAYTGWATGTAAATCTATATAATGTCCTGTGAAGTCATAGAGAAAGACTGCATTACATCTGAGAGCTTTGGTGCAMGTAAGTAAGTYWAGTCACAGTGAGACATCAGAGAGAATGTGTTCAGCTGACTTCACAGTGCACCATTAACAGTGTGGTTCAAACAGAAAATAAAGGGACAATAATAAATATTGATGTGTGACAATAACATAAAAATGCTGCAGCTACARTCRACAGATSRATATGTCATTTTGTACAGAAMTTCWYTARATAGATGGTATTGTWAATATACCAGATACTCTGTTCCTTACCTCTTAATTGCATAGTGTTGCCGTGTGGCAACAATAACTTACTAAGAGGCAGCAAAGTAGAATCCATGTTTCGCTGTTAAGTTTAGCAAAGAAACACCTTTTATTTTTGATAGGACAAACACAGTTCTCCACAAGTCCTGTTTGCATCTCCTTTTTCATGGACATGAGAAACTGTAGARGTCATGGTCTGATGGCTTCAAAATTAACTAACTCATTTTTTGGACTAATTTTCAGCRCAAGAAAATCATGCRCTTGTGWCATAATATGAGTCTGTGCARCTTTTTACACAATAAAACAATGAGTACTGAAGTTGAATAAACGTATGCTGTATTTTATTTGTCTTGTTTCCAATAAGAGGATGTTTCAGCTTCCCACAATTGTACATTTACCCGCAGGGTTTTTTCCTTTTTTAATATTTTAAGTGATAAAAAACAGAGCTTCAAAAAACACTAGTTTAGTCCATTGACCAACAGATTTTCATTTCAGGATATATGAATTCAGAAAAATAATGCTATTGTGTTAAATAACACAGCTGTTTGTGTCCTCRGCGACAAGACGGTTGTGTAAAGTTCATKTAATAMTTTTTTTRCACAGAGACCTTCAATACATATATCAGGAAACCACAGGTAAAACATTACAAATCTGCAATCACTAGTTAACCTGTAATATTAGAATACTGAAATATAAAACATATCAAAAATTGATTATTGTTGCTGACGATGTTCATCRCTTTATAGCCACAGTTTCCATCTTCTGTTGGATACGTCCAGCAGGTTAATGCTCCATGTCACAAAGTGAGAGTCTCAAAGACGAACTGAGACAGATTGAGAGGAAAGAAAGAAACTGAYGCGTTCCTAATAAAGTGTGTATACCTGCTTCATTCAGCACATTACTATGACACTGCAGTTAAAAATTATACCACAATGTTAAGATTTTCAAAATGATCTTTTATTGTGAKTAAACAAGTTACATTGTAATCAAAGTCTGTCGTCACATTTATGTACATGTTTGTGAATGRTCCYGTACTAATATCTTTGTGTCAAGCATTTTAAGAATAGACCCTAAAGATTGAGGACATTTTTGGAAAGTGAGGACATTTTGACCTTCCTCACTTTTTCAAAGGTGAAGACTTGGCTTTAGGGTT